TGCTCAATCATTTTTCCTTGGTTTGAAATTGAAGACTGTCCCAACTATTCTCCAATGTGTAAGGATATGGCCAAATACCAGAAAGACCATAAAAGTTCTTATTAGAGCCCTCCGCTCGTAAGCCTCTCTCTCCCACCCTTAAGCCTCTGCGGATCAACGCCTTCGGGGCATGATGTACAGTTTCTAGTTTCTCAGTCACTGCCAATGATGATATATACCCGTTCAGTTTCCATACCTCTGCCTGCTTCAGAATTTAACCTGCTACCGGGACAATGGGTTTCAAGGAGAGCGTTGTAAATTTACTGCCGCAACATGGTGTAAGGTCCATTAAGTTTACTGAGATAGTCAAGCCTCCTAAGCGTTAGATCTTTCTGATATACCTGGCGACCCTTTAATGTATCAATAAGACTAAAGTCTCTATAAGCGATCTCTATAAGGGATCCCGGAATTACTTAAAAACTATCCCGAAATCACGGGATCACAATTTTCCGTATATTTAGACATACCTAAGTGGCAGTACAGGTGGAAAGTGTAAAAATAAATTTACCAAAAAGATTTCAAATATTTTTAGAGCTGTACGAACTTTATTTGGAGTATATTAATATCAACGAAGTCTCTATAAGAGTTTATTTTAAGTAATTTATGTTACTTAGTTTCAAAGTTTTTTTGTTTCCAGCACTAATATTGTCAACTTTTATTTTTAAATAATTTTACAGAGGAAATGCACAAATTCATAGCGGAGCAACTGCAGACGGGACGAGTGCCACTTTGTATAAATCCGCAAAGTGCGGCCTTCAAAAGCTTTGCTAGGTAAGTGATGAGTGTCCTTTTAAAATTTCCAGAGGAAAAAAAGAAAGAAAAAACTAGAAAAGTAACCTACAGTTGAAACGATACCAAATTCAACCAAAAAACGACCTTAACAATCCTTTTTTGGTTTTTCTAAAAAAAACTACAATTGTTTTGTAAAATTTTTGGGTTTTGCTTAATAAATTCGGTGTAACTTTGTTTTTTTTTTCAATACCGTATATTTTTTTGGTTTTTGTAGTTTTTATATTGATAAAATTTATAATTTTTCATATTAATTTCTTTCTTAAAATTTTTTCTCTAATCCTTTTTTTTTTTGCAGTTGCACTTAAATTCTTATTTTCATTTCGGCATACTCCATTCATGACCGTTTCTTTTCATTACTAACATATCTCATTTATTTGACAAAACTTTCGTTTTCCCTTTCTGCACTACAGCACATTTTCGAACAACAAGTTTTTGGTGTACCTAGCTGCATAGGTTGTGACTTTTTGACAAAATTTTTCCATTCGAAATTCAAATTTTTCCACACATTTATTCCGTTTTTTTTTTTTCAAATGTGCATTTTATGTGTTGTCTTTCACGAAGTCACAGCACACATTTGCACGTAAATATTTGAATTTCTTATACTTTTGCACCAACAACCATCATCCATCCATCCATTCATTATCTACCGCCATTACAACACTTTAACCACGACCATGACCATTTTGCCACCAATCCGTTATTTAATCATGCTTTCATTCGAATTCATTCATAGTAAATTCTTTGATTAATAAAGTTTTATTAAAAATAAATTTATTAAATTTAATTACATTTGCGTTAAGCCAATGAGAATGAGATAATCTACTACTACTACCACTACTACTACTACTACTACTACAACCACTGCTGCTGTTACTGCTGTTAGAGACGCTGTTTGGTGCAACGTACACAGCTACAGATACAGTTACACATGCGAATGCGAATGCGAATACGAATAGAGATGTAAAATTGAAAGTCGAAGATCGAAAAATTAATTAAGAACTCAACTTAACAAAAAAGTGGCCGAGTCATAAACTGAAAACCAAAAAAAGGCAAACATTGCAAACAATTTTATATATTTGAGTATATACGTGCATATGTGTGTATGTATGTGCGAGTAAATCGCTCTATTTTTAACTCCGGCGCACATACGTTTACATTCAATGAGATAGCAATCGCCCTATCACCACGCACTGCTCAGCTCAAAGCACTCAGCCGTAAAGTATGCAATTGCTCGCATGCCGCATGAAGTCACTTCGAAAACTATGATAACTGTATGTATTCACGCACTCGAATTTAAGCAAAAATGTTCGTGCATTGCGTTGCGTTTTAATTGATTATAAATTGATTGCTATTTACTGCCGCCCAGTTGAGTATGCGCACTTAAATATTTTTGCAAATAAATATACACACTGAAAGATGTGGAGAGGATGTGGAGAGCGTGAATTGAATAAAATCACTTAACCAACGAGCAATCGAGCAGAAGAACCAGCAATCTATATTGCAGACCGGCGGTAATAGAAGCGGAGTCAAGTTAAAAATTTTACATCCAGCGTTTCTATTGTGAAGCGAAACATCACTATTCGGTATACCCAGCCACAATTCATTTGAATAGAGTGATTCGAGTGCTTCGCATACTCCGAATTCTACGAATAATTCAAGTACACAACTGATTGAGTTGGAACGAGATTGAGTTGGAGAGAGAGTTCATCTGAAGAAAGTATTCCTGCATGAATGTCTTTTCACACATCAAAAAAAAAAACGGCAGCTTTTGCTGCATAAGCGCAATATCAGCGCGCGCAATCAGTTCAGCAACAAAAATATTACCCATTTTGTTACGTTCAGCGGCTTACTTAGTTCAGCACAATTTGTCTACAAATCAAATCTCTGAATTAGGTCTGTTGATATTTAATTCGAACTTATTTATATTATAATTTTTTTTTTCTTACACATTCTACTTTTTTGCTACTTAGAAATCACAAAGTTATCATATCCTTTTAACATTAGTCCGTTAAGTTTAGTAAGTTTTTATTTTACTGATACTGTACAGCATTGCATATAATTATATTTATGTATGTATAGTTATATGTTTTAGAGAGTATGTGTGGGCGTGCTTGGTATGGGACTTAAGTAGATTAACCAGAGATCTGCAGGAAAATTAGGCGCATATGTGGCCCCTTTTGGGTTTCGATGACTGAACTTTCTCATTGGTTAAAAGCATGGTGCCAGTTGTGGAAGGGCTTCTCACAAATCGTTATATAGCTTGTAATAGTAGGCGTAGTAAGTTTTTTATGTGATAATGTGCCAAATGTGAGTTAACTCTCCACTGTAAAAACGGCCTTAGGTTAGGCCAGGAAATACCCATAGTTGTTCATTGGGTTGCCAAGTATGGGTAAGTGCCAGAAGTGCATCGATATAGAAAAAAGTCAGCCAATCTCCACGCAATCTCATCGCGTCAACTTCTGCAGAGAGAATTAGTTGGTATACGCCATTTTACGAGCCTCCGTGAAATAGCCCTATGATTATTCCAAGAATAACTCTTACTGCAGATCTATTGGGTTTCAGAGAGATTTTCGTCATTTTCCAATTTAACGGCCAACATAATGTTTGTCGCGTTCAACTTCTCATTAGCAGGCTCATGTTCGGGAACCCAGAAAACAGTGTTGTTGAGAGCTCAGCATCGGCAGGACATTTTCCTACAATCCTCTAATGGAATTTTTTTTAATATTATTATTTTTTTTTTTTTTCAAAAGCCATTCGACTACGGCAAAGATAGTGACTTTTCCGACTGAAACTATGCTATTTAGTAGAAGACTGACTGCCTTTTCTATAGCTTAAATATCAGCATGGAAGACGCTGCATTCGTGTGGCAGACGTAAAGACTGACTGTTCTTCAAGTTCTCCGCGTAAAGATCAGGCCGGTTTCTAGCTACATCTTTCCACCATCAGTTTAGTTCGGGCGTCGTCCCATTCCTCTCCGGGCGGAAACAATATAGGTATACTTGTATCGCCGCTTCCGATGTGGCGAAGTACGCGAACCCTTGCAATTGCCCAATTTTTTGCTTTTTTGTTCCCTTGGTCCATGTATGTATGTAAATATTACAATCGATCTGTTGACTGCGGTGTACATATGTATGTATGTATGTAGTATGTACAAACCATATATGATATACGACCTGTTTTCATAAATGATGCAGTTTTCCACATTTTTCGCCATCAGATGTTAATTGAGTTATATACATACACATATACATTAGGGTGCTTCACTCTCCTTATCAAAAGAAATCGGCACTGCTTTTCCATGGGAAATATAAAATGCATTATGTATATTTTAATACTTCCGCCATACTATTGAAAATAACTACCAAAACTGTTTTTTTTTTTATAAATAAAATTGGTTTTTGTAAATATTTTGTCTAAAAAATCACATCTGTTGATAATATAGTATATTATAAGAGTTTAAGTTCAATAGGTCTGCAATAAAGTGTAGTATCAATGCAATTAAAATATTGAGATTTTTAGATATATTTTCAAATCGGCCTAGCTCACGTAAATCTTAATATTTTTCCGAAATATTTTGGCGTAAGTTTTAAAATATCATAAATTGTATAATTCCGGTAGAAAAACCGCAACTTTTTTTTTGTGAGGCACTCTAATGTGCATACATAAATATGTATGGTTGTGTGCCTTTTTGTGTGAATGTTTTTATCAAATTCTTTTATTTAATTTATATGTATGTATATTTTAAACTAATTGGCCATAGACTAAACCGGATGCTAGTAAACTAAAATTGCAAAACATTTTGGGCAAATTGAAGCAATGGTCCATTATAAACATATGTACATACATGCATATATGCATATGTAAATTATAATACTACATATATTTTTAAGCACCAACCACCAGTAACCAATGCGCCATTTACACAAATACACACTCGAAACGCCCTCAAATTCACCACCATTTAATAAATCCAACCAACAGCCCATCAATAGCGCCACTCTCCAATCCTCACCAAAAGCAATTAATCACTTTCACGAACAAGAGTAATCACTCGTGTATATATGTATGTATATGGCTCATTTACTAAAAGACTGTCATAACTCAAAAAACGAAAGTTTTGAGCAAAAGTTTTCAGAATTACTCCATACATACATATGTATGTCATATTGTGTAAAAAAAAATTTATGCTAAAATCTTTTGTAGTTTCCGCGTAAGATGACAATTTGCATTAAATACCTTTTGCTGCATTTCAAGAGCAAGTTTCAAATTTTAAACGCTGCTACCGAAAAATTCTTCTTCTAATTTGCGTTGACAGTATTTTAGTAAACGAGCGATATGTATGTATATAATTATATGTACGTATGTGTATCGTACGTATGGTTAGTATTGAAAATTGCCAATCATGAATAACAGCTACATATAAATAAATAATTTTGCTACTGCAATTTAAAAAATAAAAAAAGGCATCGCTTCCAATCATGCGCACCCACATACTCGTTACGCAAAGAATTGGCTTACCGGCAGCATTGAGGATTTTCTAAATTTTCCCGCATTGAAATTCGTGTGTGTGTGTGTGTGTGTTTGTATATCATCTAACAACTTGGCATACCAACATCAAAATGCTACTAAATTATGCTGCATAAAACCCCCGCCCAAAAAAAAAGAACACATAAATTTATTACTAACTAATCTAATGAAGAGCTGCAGTCAAATGGATAAATGTGCATTAATAAAATTCAGTTACATATGTATATGGTCAACGTGCTGCCCCGCGACACTGTACAGTTGTATATGTAATAAACAAAACACCACCTCATTCCAAAATTAAAAAAAATAATAATTAAAAATCATAATAATAAAACTACAGCAGTGATTTTTAGTAGTTGTTAAATTATCTCCTCTTCCCCTCAACATAACGCATCAAAACTAACTTAAACGAAACTAAATTGAATATAAAAAAAGAACTCTTTTGTTTTTAATTTTCATTGGTGCTTTTGTAATCAAATCTAACCATCTATCTTAATAACATTATTTTGTTAAATTAAATTCATTTTGTAGTTATATTATTTTAGTTTAAAATTATATAATTTTTCGTAGTTTTAGTTATAGCATCTAAACTGTGTAGTAAGTACCGTGTACAAGGATAACACTTAGTCAGACACACACACATATGTATATTAAATAGATTTCATTAATACTAAATTTATTTACACACAAAATGCGTAAAACCTTCTTACACGACCTGTATTTGCATCTGTAAATCTCAATTTTCTGAAATGTTCCTACCGTCTATCACAACTTGATCGATTTGGTTTCACGTTTTCCGATCAAGTGACACTTTTACTTTAATTAAATGTTTAGTGTACTTGAAACCAACTATTTTGTAACACTGTGCAAATTCATAATATAACTTTTATGGTACCTTGCGAACCCCTTGAATATATTTTAAGCCGTTTAGCTGTAATAAGACACTTACGGCACCATTGTGAATACCCGAATTCTTTATTTTCCTTGATAACCTCTTGCAGTCCTCTGGTAGAGTCGACACTATACATATGAGCCTGCTGCAGTGTGACCTTTTCCGGACATGACCTTATTGTTTTCTACTGTTGATGAGAATATCTGTTGCCAAACTAACCAACGACATTTCTAAATTCCGTTGTCGTCCATTCTTATAAATCAAGTTAAAAACATTTTCTATTAAATAGCTTGATATTTCTCGTTGCTGCTTACGATGAATATTTTTGAATATGCTGCCATATAAAATTCCCATGCCTGTGTTTTAGTTGGCAACAACATGAGTAACGAAATGAAACTGCTTTGAATTGGGTAAATTTTGTGACACTTAAAGATTGCAATTAAGGAGAAGATGAGAGAAGAAGATAAAGATGCAAACAAAGATAAAGATGCGGATAAAGATAAATATTAACTAAAGTTAACTACGCAGATAAAGGTAAAAAACAGATATAAATAAAAAGTAGAAGATGGCGATGGAGATGAAGATGAAGATGACAATGAAGGAAGATGAATATGAGAAGAAGATTAAGATAAGTTCAAAATGAAGATCAAGATCAATAATAAGTTGAAAATAAAGATACATAGCTTAATATTAAGATTGAGGCAAAAGCAAAGGCAAAGGCAAAGCAAAGACAAAGCCCAAGTAAAAGACAAAGGCAAAGGGCAAATACAATGACTAAGTTTCACTTGTACGCATTCAGTTTTTTTTTTTAATGTTTAATTCCCATTAATTTTCTTCTTTCCGACTTATCGTACGCAATTGAAATCGATGGTTGAGTGGAAGATTGACCTATATCCGCAGCTAGTTCGAAAACGCCCTATCTCAGAAAACTTTTCGAAAACGTCCCCTACTTCAGAATTTGGTTGAAGGATGCGCTCGAGTTTGCCCGAAGTCGGTCATAATTCGATCAGACTTGTCGGATAACAAAATAAATAAAATTCTCCAGACACTTCGCCCAGAAATCTGTACAAAACTTGTAAGGGTACGTTCATACAGAAAGCGTTCAACTTCATGACGCTTCAGAAACTGTCTGGCACATATGCTAGCTGGGTTAATTCACAAAGGCCCTAACCAATAAATTTTTTATTTTACAGTAGAAGCAAAAAACATTACATATAAAAAGAATATCAAAAACAGGTCGGGTTTTTTTAAAAAGTGGCATGTAATTCGGTTGTTTTAGGTACTAACAATTTAAAATGTTTATTGAAGGTGGATTTTAATATATCCTACCAAAATCTTGAGCAACGCAGTTTCGAAAAAAATGTTGGTTAGGGCCTTTGTAAATTAAGGTGACGATATGTATGTAGCTATCTTTTTTTTTTAAGAAAACGTTACAGTACTGCTCCCAGGTAAAGAAATTACATTAGGCTACTCTCCGGGTACCCAACGGGCCACAACCAACTACGATTTCATATGCCGCGAATAGGTGTTATAGGGGAGTCGGAATGCCGGCTCTGTCTTGAGGACGAGGGACCTTTCGAACACATTCTTTGTGACTGACCAGCCGTGGCTAGAAAAGGATTGATTTATTTCAAATGGTCAAACGCTTAGTAATAAGGCGCTCGACTACCAGAGCCCTTTTAGGATTGATTACCTTACCTTAAACCTCTTGCTGAGGGCTTGTAGAGAAGAACTCAAGACCAACTTCAAAACTATTGATAGCCTCAGAGAGAGTTTATGAAAGAAACACTTTACTTGACGGTAGCGAAATTTGATGAATTCATTTAAGAAACAAGTAATTTTTAAGCAAAAAGCACAGCCGACTTCCATTCTCATCGGATCTCAACCAAATTATTATGGGACTACCAATCTAATTCGGCTGACGTAGTCCAAAGTTAAGCGGTAAAATTCATAAAAAAATAAAAAAATATAAATTCAAATATTCCGACGAATTGATAACCTTCTCCTTTTTTTTAAGTCGGTTAAAAATAGCAAATTTTTCCGCGATCCATACGGTTGATCTTGCTGATACGATAATACATTTGTGTAGGAAAGTTAAATGCGAGATACAACGAAGAGCATAACTCAGCCGGGAACTATGTAAAGATATTTTTTCCTGTATAAAATGCATTTACAACCGAAACGACACAACACATACATACATACATTTCAACATTTGTGTAACTATGTAAACTTCAATGCTTTAAGCTTAGTTCAAAAAAACTGCACACACTACATTTTCCACTTGTATGATCATAACCGATTTTCGTTTCAAACATTTCAGTTTAGTTGTAGCAAACTTATTATTGTAACCACTACTTGTGTATTTATTATCTGTTTTCATTTCAAGTATTTCATTATGATTTGTTGTATTAAGTTGGCTTCATTTTGTGATATTTTATATAAAAACAAAATATATATATATATATAATATTGTTTACTAGATGTTGAATCAGTACTAATATAATTTCCGGTTTTTTTTTTATTCATTTTTCCAGTTCAACTGTGGCGCATCCTTCCGAATTGCCGCCATCGCCACATCAATGGGAATGACGGCAAAATGAGGCCATAGCCGCCTAAAAGTAGATACTAAACAACAGTTATTATTATAATTACAGCAACAACAAACAGCCAACAATACCACCCGTTTTAACCAAATTCTTTTCATTTAAATTTAATTAAACTAAATAAATGTAATATGTATATAAAAACACAACGCTGAAATTATGATGCAGCAGCAGATAAAATAGCCGGAATAAAACGACGGCAAAGAAACGATAAAAAGAGCAACAGCAGCAGCAACAGCAGCAGCAGCAGCAGCAGTAGCAGCTAAAAACCGAGTGACAGCGACAAATATTATAAAGAACTTTAATAGACTCTTATTTTTAAGAATAAAGCAACGATTTTAATTTTTAAGTTAAAAGTGTAACGTAAATGGATGGATGCATAAGCAGAGGAAGCGCCAATGGGCAGCCACGAAAAATAATTGAAAAAAGTCAAAAGTTGAAGCGGTGTAACCTGGCGGAGCTGCCACCACATTTGAAGAAGTTTTACGAAGGAAGAATGAATAGAAAGTGAAACAAAGCAGAGCATAATAACTAAATATTATGTAAATTAATTAAAGTAGAAACGAAGTGGAGAGAAATGTAACAATGAGCGGTACAGTAATCATTCCACCACCGATTAAAAACACAAAAAAAAAGAAACACAAGCAAAGGAATAATTTTGCGCAGAAGATGCGGAAGAGGGCAGTAAGTAAGAATGCTGCCCAAAGCAACACTAGTCGCCTGAAGTGAACTGAAGACAGGAAAATTGAAGCGGTAAAAGAGTGAAGCACACAAAGCTATGCTGCGAAAAGCTTTTGGGGTTGCGCGTAAATGAACAGCTGATGCTGAAGTGTGTTTTAATAGAAGCAGAAGAAGAAGTAGACAGCAGCCCCGAGAATGAGCCATTGAAATGGTGACGTCACAAAAAATGCGCAGTCAATGCTGAGCAGCGCATTTGTGGGAGCTTCGAAGTAGCAAATTCCGGCGTGCGAGGGCTACAGTAAGTGTAGCTGCAAATTATGGCGGCAATAAGAAGTCAAAAACTATCGCTGACGATTGTAAGGGAGAAATTAATAGTACGTATACATACACACAAAAACACTGCAAATGGCATGCATTATAGAATCAGTGTAATCGTGGAAAAAAAACACACACACACACAAACAAGCATCAAGTGCAATGCTATTGTTCAAAACAAAAAGTCCCAAAAAACATACAGCAATTGTAGTGAGATATCAGCTAAGCAGAGAATACGATGGGAAAGAGAGAGAGAGAGAGACGCCCCAGAAAAATATTGCAAAATATATTTGTAAATTATATGCAGAAGCAAAGTAAAAAAAGCATCTTAACTAAAAGTATTCACACACACACACATGCATACAAACTACATACGTCTCCAAGCTATGGACAATGTAATGAAAAGGCGTTAAAAGCAACAACAAATAAGCATAAAATACACTTTGTAAATGTATGTAACAAACGAAAAAAAAGGAACCTTAAAAAAACATCTGATATGCAAATGTAAAATAGAAAGTAAAAGTAATGAAGTGTAGCGTATGTATGTATTATTATGTAACAGCAATTATTATTATAATTATTATTATTATTATTAAACATAAAACAACTACATTATTACTGCGACTACAAATACACGTACGTTTATACATATTATGATTAACTTATATACATGCATATATAATTATAATGAACGTAATAATTAATTAATTAATTAATTAATGTAATTTGTTTGCCAAATTTACCTCAAAGCAAAAAGTAAAACACTTTTTTTAAAATACTATATTAAAACATATAAAAAATAATTATTGTATTGTAACTAGAAACAAAAAAAAACAAAAAATCTGAAACTACACACAAGCATTGAACGATACAAAAATGTACGCAAGGAGCTACAGGCGGGTTAGTAATTGCATATTGAGAAAATTTGAGAAAAAAACAAAGAAAAATTTTTCATGAGCTTAAGGGAGGGTTTTGGCATGCTATGCTATGAATTTATTTAAAATGTCAGTTAAAGTGAATTTCGCGCTCTTTTTTCATTTTCGTAATTCGAATACAACTGAAAATTCACGTCAAGCTGATTTGTAAACAAAAGAAAAAGTTAAAAAAGTACTCCCAACTCCAAGTTGGCATCGTAAACCCTCCTTGATTTAGCAAACAGGTGGACGGCCGCATAGAAAAAAAATTTGAATACATCATAAATTTAAAAAAGAATCAAGAATTTTGCACCATTTTAAAATGATTTGGCTGGCCGCTGTGTAGGAAGTTATAAGCGCAGAATAGCTTCAAACTAAAGAAATGCAGTCAAAAGTATGCGCAAGCGCCTAAAAGTATGTAGTAGCAAGCTTTAGCTGTTTTTTTTTTCTGAAAAATGTGCACCATAAAATTTAAAGGAATACATGATAGCAATTATTTTGGTTTCACACACAGCAAAAAAACATGTGCGTATAGGATTTTAGTAAAGAAAAACTTAAAAAAAATAAAGCAATTTTCGAAATTTTCTAATTTATTAAATCGGCCTGATATGGAATAATTTCAAATAAATATGTAGTAGTACGAGGCAATAAAAATGTAAATTGGAAAAATTAGAAATTTTTTTGTGTTATGTGTTCTACTATTTTATATATAAATTAGCTTCATTTTAATAGTCAATATTCCTGTTTTTCGGATGCTTTGTATTGTATTTGTTTAACAACAAGTGTTTTAAAAGTCACCCGGTAATGCCATTCTCAATTCTATAGTCAACCTCATGGCATACTCTTAGGCGATGAGGCTTTTACGATTATTTTATTTGATACTTTTATACTGTAATACAACCACCCCACGATTTGACACTTTAGGTTTTAAAACTTTGTTTTCGTACAAATCTAATATATATTTCTGATTCTTATGATAACCATAAGTCCACTGTTTCGGTATTATTTTCTTAAGTCTAATCAATAACGGAACAGCTCTTTTACATATTCAAACTGGTTGTATACTTTTAGGATACTTAATATTTGGGTTTTATTGACCTTTTTAAAACTTGAGTTTTTGTTGCATACGAAGCATTTTAAATTATAAAAATTAAATTCGAAAATTCTTTTTAATTTAATAATTAATGTAGCTAACGGTGCTGCTGCGTCCCCTAAGATTTGCCGAATTTTTCCCATAAACTATTTTCTCTATTTCCACTGCCGCTTCTAGGCGTAAGATTTTCAATATTTTGCTTTAAAAGTTTTGTATACTTCTTCGTTCATTAAATTCATCATCACCCTCAAAATTCAACATTAATAAGTATTGTATGAAAAAGAGAAATGAAAAGATAATAAAATTGGTTTTCCATTTTGCAGCACAAAAGTGAAATTTAAATCAACAGCGCTGCCAGCAAATCATTGTAATAATAAAAAAACAAATATTAAATTTTCGCTTCCGCGATTATTATGTTTCATCGACATTTTCCAATAGCAAACAAATGCTGCCGAAAATTACTTAGATGCGCTATTTTATGCTTTCCAATACATACATATGTATATTATTTCGCTAAATTTTGAATAAATACCAAATTTAAAAAAAAAAATATAATCGAACAATTTGTTGTAGCTGTATGTAGAGCACAGCAAATAAAAACGTATAACAATATTTTATATATTTAATTCAATGCTATGTACGCCGCATATGTATATGCTTTAAATGTGTTTTGTAAGAAAATGACTAAAACAAAGCGAAAATATGTGTGTACGTTTTTTTTTTTAAAAGATAAGAACATGTATAGAAAACCAATTTGAAAACGAAATGGCAAGGTTAAACTTTCAAACACGCACTGAATGTACGAGTATGTAATAATATGTATAACCATTTAAATGATAATTTATAATTTTTATTATATAATAGTCGATTAGCCGAACTATACACTTACGTAGAAACACACACGCAAATGATTTCTTAACATGTATGTATGTATTGTAAGTTTTCAATGTGTGCTTATGTAAAGTATATTTCTTCTACACAAACTCCCACATGCATACATAATAGGGTAGTACTTAAAATATCAACACCTAACTGTTTTTCGAAATCGCAAAAATTTGTCGCAGTTTTTAATTGAAATTTGACATAGATATTATTGAAATTTATTCATATAAATGCATAAGCTCGCTGAGTCATAGCTGGTTAAAGTCATAGTTTTTCGAATTTTTGCGATTCAAAAAAGACAATAATTTTTTTAAAACATTTTTTTTTTTAATTTGGAAGTTTTCGGAGATGTTTTTTTTTATAGAAAAAAAATAATGATGTTGATATGTTTAAGGACCACCCTAATACATGCATACATAAATTAAGCGGTGGCAGCCAGCCAACTACGCTTGAATGAGTCGCCTGCACGGTAGCCTTGTTGAAGCGCTCCTGGGCATGCGTCGCCGCTGTCATTTCTTACAACAGAACTGCACACCAACGTTTTCAGTTATTTAGCGCTTTTCAGGCTTTCAGCTGTCAATTCAGCTTATAAAGCTTATAGCTAAATAGAAACTTGAAAAAATCTGAAAAGCGTTGAACGCTTGAAAAACTTGGTGTGGAGTGCGAACTTAAATCGTTAGGTGTATTCAATTTTAGTATCACATTATGTAGATGTGCATACCCTTACATGCATAGGTGCGTAAACAAACATATATATTTTTATATGAATTACATACTTACTAATTAAATAAGCAAAAAATTAATTAATTCAACAATTAATGAATTACCATGTAAGTTTGTGGACTGATTTCAAATAACACATTTTTTTTTTTTTGTGTTTTTAAAAACACGCTGCTCTGTGTTTAATATGTTTTTAGCTTTTTAAATTTTTATAATATGTAGCTGTTATTTTGTAAGCTCAAACATGACTTAGTTTTATATTTTAGTAGATACTTCTTTAAAACAAATTTAACTTTTATAACTCCGAGCTCTTGCATAGACTTCAATTTCAAAAAGAACAAAAAACAGCAAACTCTAAATGTCTGCGAATACAAATTTAAAAACAAAACGCAAGAAATTTATTTGAAATATTTCAATCACTACCAATGTACTATTAAAATTAAAATTTAAAACTACTATTTACGATTTAGATACTATTTACTACTACTTTGCTACTGCGAGTACATTCACTACCAGACTCATATGTATGGATACATAAATGTATGTATATGTAATTATGTCTCTTACTCAATGTTAGAATATTTTAGTGACATTTTTCGATTTTAAGCGTAAATGTTTATGCATAGAAAACTAGAGTTAGTAGATAACAAATTTTTCGAAAAAAAAAATATAATGCAAAACAAAAAAAAACACACACACACACTTTCAATGAGTTGAAGCTGATGAAAAGTATTTTTTTTTCAAAATCACCATCATCATAATCATTTGAAAACAAAAGTTTCTCAATAAAAAGATACATGCAAATTTTTTACATACACGCAAATGAAAATCTTGTCTTTTTTGCTTTTAAAACTGCGTTATTGTTTTTTTTTTTTATTTTTGGGTACAGTGCTATACAAAGAGCGAGCAGATTATGGTACTCAAAATCACTTAAGCAAACATACATACAAATGTATATCTAATAAACAAAATTCCGTAACAATTTTTTTTTTTTTTTTTTAATAAAGCACGTAAGCATATCTACATGCATAACTCAAGGTAAGCTAATACGCTCAGCATTTATGTTTTGTAGTACATAAATGAGTTGAGTACACACATTTTATCCTACCGTAGCGAGAGTGTGAAAATTCTATTGTAAAAAAAAAAATGAAAAGTTTTCATCTGTGTATATTTGTTATGTATGTATGTTTGTTATCATTAGCTTACTTACATTTTACTTTACATTTAAGTTTTCATTATTCTAAGTTTATATGTACATAAAAACCAAAAGCCATCGCATCGCATTACGCCTGCATGGCGGCCGGCCACACAAGGACACACTGCCCACACCCAGTGAAAATTGCTACGTTTGCAAGAATTAAACAGTCACGCACTAAACCCAACCATAGACGCAGGCATACAGGCGCATGCGCATATTCATACATACTTACTCATTTTTAGG